TACCTCCCCAGCATAAGGATTATAGATGCACACTATCATACCTGGCTCTTTTATATGAGGATCACACTCAGGCCCTCGTGCTTATGTGTCAAAGATTTTACCAGGTGAACTATATTCCCAGCTCTTGCATTGAACTCACCTTTCTTCTTAGCCTTCTGAGTGGCCTTTGAAACCTGACCCTGCTGCTGTACCTGCTCCTTCTCCCGCATGAGTGTCTTTCTGTGTAGCACAGACTAGCCTTGAATTGTCAATTCTCCTACCTTACTCTCCTGAGTACATCATTGTACTTGGCTTCAAATGTTTTTATAGATGCTGATCCTTAAGTGGCTGTTGCTCACCAGGATTTTACAGTGTTGTTTGTTGGTTTGTTTTTCGAGACAGGGTTTCTCTGTGTAACAGCCCTAACAACTTAAATTAACCCATTTCTATTACTCTATGTGCTGCCCCAAGGCTCGTGGCTTTTACCTCTCCAGCAGGTCCTGCTTCCTTTCTGTCTAGTTGGTAATTCCTCTGAATCTGCTCCTCTTCCTCAGCATTCTCTCTGCCCCAAAAATTCTGCCTAGCTTTTGGCCAATCAGCTTTCTATTAACGAGAGCAACACATTTTCACAATGTACGGAGGATTATTCCACATCAAGGATGGTATGTTTTAAGGATTTAAGAGTGTTTGGGAAGCTGGGCCATGGTGTGCATGCCTTTAATCTAGCAGTCAAGAAGCAGAGGTAGGCACATCTCTGAGTTTGAGGCTAGCCTGGTCTACAGAGCAAGTTCCGGGACAGCTAAGGCTATACAGAGAATTTCTGTCTCAAAAAAAAGTGTTTAGGGACCTAGCATGATAGAGCAGTATTCTGGAGGCTGAGACAGATTTCCGAGTTCCAGTCCATCCTAGTCTACAAAGTAGTTTCTGGCCAGTTGGCCATAGTGAGAACCTATCTATTAAAAAAGTTTGGGGCTGGAGAGGTGGCTCAGCAGTTAAGAGCACTGACTCTTCTTCCAGAGGTCCTGAGTTCAATTCCCAGCAACCACATGGTGGCTCACAACCATCTATAAGATCTGGTGTCCTCTTCTGGGGTACAGGTGCACATGCAGGCAGAATACTGTGTACATAATAAATAAATGAATCTTTTAAAAAAAAAGTCAAAAATAAGTAAAACAAAGTTTGGGGAATAGTTGGGGAATGGGGTTGTAGCTCCAGTTGGTAGATTACTTTCCTAATATGCACAGAGTCCTGAGTTTGATTTCTGGCATTGCATAAGCCAGGTATGGTGGCACACGATTGGAATCCTAGCCTTTTAGAGTAGAGCCAAGGGATAAGAAGCTCAAGGTCACCCTCGGCTACAATAGCAAGTTTAAGACCAGCCTGGGACACATGAGACCTTGTTAGAAAATAAAGGAAGAAATCATGCTTCGGATTTATTTTAGTTTAATGGTAGAGAGCCTGCTCTGTGTATGAGAGGCTCTGGGTTTGATTCCCCAGCCCTGGCGGGTGCTATGAAAATAAAAAGAAGGTGTTTTGGGTTGTGCTGTTCTTCAGGGGCTACTTGCTGTCAGGGTTATGCTATTCTTCCTGCAGCTAGTTTAGAGTTCTTTGTGGGAGGAGCTGCTTGTTGTTTGCTTGTAGTACTGGGATGGGATAGGGCTGGATTGTCTCCTGCCCAGTTTTCTGCTACATTGCAGAGACTGTTACTGAAGACCTGGGTGTAGGCCAAGGAAAGCTGTCTAATGATTTCTTGGACTGAGTATTTGAAGATGGACCACTAAACCATGTAGCCCATGGTCATTTCTTCTAGACTGATACTCACATATGCTGTCATTGATCATCTTTGCTTCTAGAGCAAGCACCTATAGCCAAAGTATGTAGTCTTCCAGCAGAATGTCTGCTTCCAGAAGATGGACAGCCAAAGTATGCTGTCATTGGTCATTCCTGCTTCCAGATGTAAGGAGCTCTGTTGGGCTTGCTGGAAAGGCTCCATGAAGTCAGAAGCACCTGGGGATATCCACTGAGTTTCATGGAGAGCCATCTTCTAGATGTCTTGTGTAGAACCTGGCAGGGTCTGAGTGGAATGCTAACAGTCGTGTCCTCCATTTTTCCCAACTCGGGTAGAAATATTGCTCTTCCCCACATTAGAGAAAGAGCCAGAGTGAGTTCTGGTGGGAGCCAGATTCATAGAGGAAGATTAAGACCATGGTTTTGAGAAATTTACATCCTTGATCTGTGTTGCAAACACTTGGATAATGTCTTTTAAAAAGTAAAACTGTTGTTTTTTGGTTTTTTGACACAGGATTTCTCTGAGTAGCCCTGGCTGCTCTGGAACTCACTCTGTAGACCTGGCTGGCCTCAAACTCAGAGATCTTAAAGGCATACACTATCACCCCCCAGCTCTGTAACCTCTTTTCTCCTGTTTCAGACAGTCAGCTTATGTCTCAATGTTTCTATAGTGGGTTTCATTGTAGTACCTGAAGAGAATAGCAGGTCTGTCTTCCCCAGTCAATGGCCAGTTAACCAGAAAAGTGATCATTTAAAACATTTAAAAATTGTCACTGGAGTATAGTTCATATGACACAGATGTCATTTTAAAGTGTGCAGTGTTTTTACCATATTCACAAGGCGGCGCAGTCATCTTCCCAGTGTGTTTTTTTGCTGTTTTGGTTTTAGGGCAGTGTTTGACTCTGGAGCCTTGACTTACCTAAAACTCACTGTGTAGACCAGGTTGACCTCAAACTCACAGAGATCCACTTGCCTCTGCCTCCTGAGCGCTGGATTAAAGGCATGCATCACCACCACCCGGCTAATTTTTTTAAATGAATACAATGGAGTATGTTTTTATTGATGTTCTTATTGTAGACTGTTATAAGCATTTCAGAAAAGTCTTCATAAGTATCCAGAATGAGAGGCTACCCTGTTCCGTAAGAGGCAGTCAGGCCTTTGTATAGCAGGGAACTTCCTGGTTTATGTACCAAGAATATATATATTCGTAAATCAGGTATGTTGGTTTCTGGACACTGTCATGAAAGACCTAAGTCTAAAAATCCAGATGACTAGGATAGGGATGAAGAAGAGGGCCACTGGCAAATCACTCGCCTAGCACATTGATGGTCTTGGGTTTGATTTCTAGCATAAGACAAAGAACTTCAGTGATCAGTGATCAATATTATGATTTATTGAGTTGTCTTTACTTGCTGCCCTTAGGCACAGAGTAGTTGATAGCCACTAACCTCCCCATACCACACCCATCTCATCCCCCATCCCACCCCCCAAAAAAACCCACATCTGGGTAGTATCTCTGCAGAGTTCCTAGGAAGGTGAGCATAAAAGTCTAGTAAGTTTTCACCTTGCATACTTTTTCAAGACAGTCTAATCAGAGTTTACTGGTGGGAAAGTTTAGAAACAAAACTGTATTGCAGAGAAGACGACATTTCACCTTACAAGGCTGTGTTATGGTAGCTAAGTTGGGGAGACCAAAGCCAGGGGTCTCTGTCCTGCCAGCCAGCTCCCAAACAATGACTTATTATGGAAGCTTGTCTTGGCATAAGCCCCCAACTCACTCTTAATCTGCTTCTATTAATCTATGTTCTACCACATATTTTTTTAACCTATTCTCCATTCTGTATGTCCAACTTGTTTTGTATCTCCTGCATGCATGCCTAGATTCTTCCCAGTTTTCTCTCTGCTCAGAAGTCCCACCTATACCTCCTCCTGCCTAGCTATTGGCTGTTCAGCTTTTTATTACACCAATCACACAGTACATCTTCACACAGTGTACAAGTAGCCCACAACAAAGCTAGTTTCAGCTAAATAGTGACTTCCTTAGTCAGATCCTGTCCTCATGCTCATCCCTCCCCACAAAACCCTGCCTTTTAACAGATCTATTTTTTTTCCTCCCAAGTGGAAATACGTCTTCATCTTTGATCTTTAAACTATTTTAAGGGACTAGAGAGTTGGCTTAGCAGTTAAGAGCACTTAGTTTGGTTTTCAACTACCTGGACAGCTTACAACTACCTGGAACTCCATTTCCTGGATGTTCAATGCCCTCTTTTGGCTTCCACGGGTACATGCTCATACATACAGATAGGCGTTAGGGTTAGAGTGGTAGTTTGAATGCAGTTGGCGTCTATAATGTCATGAGGATTGGCACTATTAGAAGGTATGGCCTTGTTGGAGGAAGTGTGTCATGGGGTGGGGGGGTTTGATGATTCCTATGCTCAGGCTACTGCCCAGTGTCTCAGACAACATCCTATTGCCTTCAAGATGTAGGACTCTGAGCTCCAGCACCACTTCTGCCTGCGCTAGCGTGCTCCCCACCATGATGATAATGGATTGAACCTTTACTGTAAGCGAGTCGCCCCAATTAAATGTTTTTTGTTGTTGTTGTTTTCCCGAGACAGGGTTTCTCTGTAGTTTTGGAACCTGTCCTGGAACTCCATCTGTTCCTCTGTAGACTAGGCTGGCCTCGAACTCAAAAAGATCCACTTGTTCTGCCTCCTCAGTGCTGGTATTAAAGGCATGCACCACTAATCCAAGCAATTATTTTCTTTATAATAGTTGCCATGGTCATGGTATCTTTTTATTGATTGATTGTTGATTGATTGATTGATTGATTTTATTGAGCTCTACATTTTTCTCTGCTCCCCTCCCTGCCTCTCCCCTCCCTTCAGCCCTCTCCCATGGTCCCCATGCTCCCAATTTACTCAGGATATCTTGTCTTTCTCTACTTCCTAGGTCACAGCAGTGAACATTTTAAGACACACATCAACACAAAAATAGATATAAGTAAAATTTTAAAAATAAATATATCTTTAAATATTTTAATTTACATCTTGTGTGAGGTGAGTTAAGTAGTGTATAGTATATAATTTACAACACAAAATGCAGATTAAATTATTGAAATCTGAAGTAAATAAAAATAGGAATATAAGGAAATGACAGTGTTGCTTTCTTGTAGAGGACAGTTCTTTATGGCATTTAAGGAAGAGTCACATAACTGTGCTTTTTGTCTTTAGTCATGGGACATTTTTTTCCGAAACACCAATGCTGGAGCCCCTCCGGGCACTGCCTACCAGAGTCCTCTTTCCCTGAGTCGAAGCTCGCTGGCTACCATGGCCCATGCACAGTCCCTGGTGGAGGCACAACCTAACGTCGACAAACTCGTGGAGGACCACTTGGCAGTGCAATCTCTCATCAGGGCATATCAGGTGAGCGGCTGTCATCAGTTTCATACAAGATACAGAATTCCCTAGGACTTTCTGGATGTACATTGTTTAAATCTCTTCCAAATGCCAGCTGTTTCCTTACTGCTTTGGGCTTACAAAGGCAAACAGCAAGTTTATAAGAGAAAAGAAGCAAGAGTACCCTAGTTGAGCAATTTTCCACTGCGGTAGTCAGTCTCATAGTAGCTCATGATGTCTGTTCATAAATAGGCAAGTCAGTGTGTGGGCATGGAAGGGTGAGAAGGTTGGATCGCTGTCCCGTCTCAGTTAACAACTGGATACTGTAAAAAAGTAAATCCATGGGCGTTAGAGACAGAGGCCGGAAAGTCGGGAAGAAGAACTGAGCCTGCAAAATGTGGGCGAGACAAGAACATTCTATCTAAATTCTGCCAGCAAGCAGCCAGCCTCATCAGATACATTCAACAGGAATGGGCTCTTTTTTTTTTCCTGGCCTTCTCCATCTCAGTACAGTAACCAAAGATTTCCTCCATGCCCACCTCTGTTGGGGAACCAGAATTCAGACCTTAAAATTTGAGTAGACTGAGGAAGAAAGGTACAGAATAATAAACCAGGTAGCTTCCTTCTAGGACCTCCAATGAGAGTCCAGGCCCCACACTAGCATGGATGCAACAGTAGTATCTAGGGAACTTGCCCTGAGCTCTTGTTTCTTCTGCTTCATGCTTTAGTTTCCTGGTGGTGGTTGTTGAGAAAGGTCCTGGGTCCTTAGTCTTTTCCCTGCCATACTCTTCAATGAGGGCTCTTGGGACACACATGTGCTGACATGGGAAGGAGATGCACAGAATGCTATAAATGCTGTAGCCCTAATCATAGCCTGTATACAGTTGGCTACAGTAACATTTTTAATCTAGTTTCCAGTGACTTCTCATCACCCACTGTTCTCAAATTGCTAGCAAGAACTGTGATAAATATTCCTAACTAAAAAACAAAAGCAAATAAATCCATTAAACTTGAAGGAATTTTCTGAGTGTGGTGGCACACATGTTTAATCTCAGCACTTGGGAGGCAGAGGCAGGTGGTTCTCTGTGAGTTTGAGGCCAACCTGTTCTATATAGGGAGTTCCAGGCCAACCAGGGATAATAGTAGTAGACACTATCTTAAAAATAAATACATTTTTTAAAAATTTTAAAATGGAAGGGATTTCCCCACTCCACCTTGCCCTTTGTTGTTTCCGTGGTGCTGGAGTTTGAGTGCAGCACGTGGGTATACAAGTGGTTCTCAGGGGCTACCACTGAGCTCTTCCCCAGCCTCGTGTATGTGCACCATATGTGCACCTGGTCTTCTGGAACTAGAGTTACAGGTGGTTGTTAGCCTCCATATAGATGCTAGGAATGGAACCTGAGTCATCTGGAAGACCAGGGCTCCTTAGTGCTGAGTCACCTCTCTATTGTTTTTTTTAATAGTCCATTAAAGTAATAATTTATATCTCATTTCCATTGATCTAGAGAAACTAAGGATCCCCAAGATACAGTTCATTTTTAAATATCCAAGTTTATTATAACTTGAAATATACTCCTTTTTTATCCTCATAAAAGGGCCTTTATATACAATAATACTTTGGGTTGTTTGGAGTTTTTTTATTCATTGTTTTTATGTATGTGTTTTACTGGAAATTGAACAGAATCTCACTAAGTTGTCCTGGCAGTTTTTGAATATTTGATTCTCTGCTTCAGTCTTGTAAGTGGCCTAGATTATAGGTATGTGCTTTCAGGTCTAGCGCACAGTAATGCCTTTTAAAATAAACTGTTTTAAACTGTTTTTTAAGAACTAACTCTGATTTATGGGTTCACTGAGCTATGTTCCTTTCTTAGAAAGATTTGTATGTAGTATAATTCTTTTACCACTTCCCACAGCTTATTGGATTTGCTTAATGACTTGCTTGTGTTATTATTCCAGGTCAGGGGTCACCACATTGCAAAACTTGATCCTCTCGGAATTAGTTGTGTAAATTTTGATGATGCTCCGGTAACTGTTTCTTCAAACGTGGGTGAGAATTAATATGTAAATGCTAATTTTAATGTAATTTTACTTTTTTTTGCCCCTTCCCTCTTTTTTTTCTCCTGTCCTTTTGTGTGTGTCCTTCCCTCTCATTGTTGGCCCACTCATAGATACGAGGGCACCATGTAGCACAGCTGGACCCCCTGGGGATTTTGGATGCTGATCTGGACTCCTCCGTGCCCGCTGACATTATCTCATCCACAGACAAACTTGGTGAGGGTCTGCGAGCAGTCAGCTGCGCTGCTTGAGCTCCTCTCGCTGTGCACAGCCTGTGCTAGCCAGGACATCCAGACAGGAGGGAAAGGCTCTTAAGTTTCCTTCGTTCTGATCACTTGAAATTGAGCAGGAATGTAGCCTTAGTGTGTTTTAAGGGTATTATTTTTATCTCAATTTTCAGCCAGATTGTCCAAGTTTCAATCTGGAAAATAAAATTTCAAAGGAAGGGTCTGTGGCACTGAGAAAACCTGGCTCACTGCTTCAGAGAATAGCTCTTCTGGCTCCAGCTTTCCATATCCTGCACAACACTGCCTTTCGTAAGGCCGCTGACCAGGCTCGCAAGGCTGCTGTTGTCATGGCTGTCCCATTCTGGAATATGGTGGGGCCTGCTCGGGCTGGAGGATATTCATATCCCTAAGGAGCGAATTCCAGAGCAACGTGTGCAGTTTGGGTTTCCTGATTTGTAAATGCTGGTGATCACACTGAGGAAACTTTGGAAGGCGTTCCCTACAGTGTCAGGAGGCCAGAGCCTTTGGGAGGTGCATGTGTGGAGGACAATTGGGGTTTTGTCACTGTTGCCAGAAGATATGCCAACCTGTACCTGGTCCTCCTTGTGAGGTGAATGGGCATTGCGGTGCTCACTGCAGTTGCTTCCAGAGTTAATCTGCTTATGTCACCGTGCTGCTAACCTGTACTAAAGAAACGATGATGTGACTAATAATGAAATGACCAGAGTGTGCACAATAGGCACCTTGCATGCTAATGAAATCAATGATCACCTACTTGCTAATATCCTTGGGGAGAAGATAAAATTAGTGTCCTTGCAGGTACTACCCTGTGGTCTTACAAGTATTGTTGAATTGTAACCAAGGATTTGGATGTTAATCAGCTCCAGTTGGACATCAGACATTATTGATGTTGTAATTGGGTTGATGGTTTATAAATTGTTGTTTAGTTTTCAAGAACACTCCTAGATACCACAGAATTTCTTCCATGTATATACATACCCTTTAGCCAATTTAGGAAATGTGTACAAAACAAACTTTTTTCTTGTTTATCAACACACACACCCAAAATTTTGTGACCTCAAAAGGTATAAAAAGGTGCTAGAGAGATCACTTAGTGGGTAAGAGTACTTGCTGTGCAAGCATGAGGACCTGAGTTCAAATCCCAAGCACCCATGTAAAAAAACCCATGGCCACATGAGCCTGTAGAAGATCGCTGGGGCTTTGTTGTTAGCCTAGCTCCAGTTGAGTGAAAGACCCTGTCTCAAGGAAATAAGGCAGAGATGCCCAGCGCCCTCCTCTGGTCTATGTGCAAGTGCACATACACTAAATGAAAGGTTTAGATAGACTTCTCCCCACCCAGTAAGCAGTCAATACCAACTGGGTTTCTTCTCATTTAATTCAGTTCTGATAGCTGGTTCCATGAAAAGAATTTGTTTATGGTGAACTCTAGAACAGAAAGTTTGGAAAAGATTAGAGTTTTCTGATCCATGTTGTGTAAGAGGAGTTCTAGCTTCTATGGCCTGCTTTAGGGAAGAAATTGTGAGCCAGGAACTATGGACAAAAGCCCCTTGAGGCTGGCTAGGTGGTGCAGCAGGTAAAGGTCTTGGTGCCAAGCCTGACAGCCTGAGTTTGGTCCCTGGAGCCCTCATGATAGAAGAAGATAATGGACTCTTGCAAGTAGTCCTCTGACCTCCATGCTCTCACTGTGTGCATACATACATACCACACACACACAAATGTAAAAGACAGCCTAACTTCCGTCTACCTGGAGATGGAATCAGATCCAGGATGGGTCCTCCCTTCCTAAGACTGCCTCCATCAGTTTACGTTCAAATAGCTTTTTTGTTTGTTTTGTTTTTCAAGACAGGGTTTCTCTATGTAGCCCTGGCTATCCTGGAACTCACTCTGTAGACCAGACTGGCCTTGAACTCACTGAGTACTCACTGAGTACTGGGATTAAAGATGTGCGCCACCATCATCTGGCTTCAAATAGGTTTTTTTAAGGTAGAGTCTCACTATGTAGACCAGGCTGGCCTCAAACTCAGAGAGATGCCTTCCAGGTGCCGACTGGGATAAAGTTTGTGCCATATACCAAAATGTTCAATTAGCTTACAGAACCCAGCAAAGCACTTGCCTATATTTACCTTATTATACAAGCTATTTTAAGAATGTAAATAATCAGTCAGATGAAGAGAAGCCGAGGGCTAGTCTGGAGGAGTCTCGTGCTCTGTTCTATGGTACTATCTTGGCATGTAGACAAGTATCTGAGCAGCTGCCATGTTTGTAGTACATAGCTGCAGAACACTGTCCTCATGAGCTTTTATGGAGACTGTATTACGCAGGTGTAATCAAAGCAAGGACAGTCATGCTAAAATGCAGTTGGACACCAATTTCTCAGCATTTCTTCCTCTCAGGCACAGGGCAGGACTCTTCTGAAATGAGGCTACCTGATGTCAGAGGGTAGATCAAGGTCAGTCAGTTGTGATAGGAAGAATTGGGAAGATTAAGAACTTCTTGGACCCACTTGAATAGAGAAACTCTAGTTTCTGTGGCCTTACTTGGGGAGAAAGTTATGAGGCAGAAACCATGAACAAAAACATGGATATAAAATAACCCAGGAGGAAAGTGTAGAGAAAGTCCTTGAATCTGACCATAGACTTGGGTGAGTTCAGCCTTGCTCTGAGGTTCAGCTGTGAAAACTTGGTCCTAAGCTGCAGTTTCTGCACAGTGCCTCCTTCTGTCCGTGTCATCCTGTAGTGTGAGAACTCTTGCTCACTGTCTCCCAGTTCTTCCACTGCATAGCAGTCCCAAGCCTCTTCATCCTCCTGTTTGTATCCCATCGGTTCTGTGACTACTCCAAAGACCTAAAGGGTCTCCTCCATGTGCTTGGGTCAGGGTAAGCTCCTGACTGTGGACTTCTCACTCTCTTTGTGAGCAGAGACCTTCCAGGAACCTCCTCTTCTCTCAGGGAGCACCTCCTCTATCAGTCAAGCTAGAGACCAGTTAGGTCTAGAGAGAAACGGATGAGAAAACTGGCCTTTTTCTATACTGCTGGAATCTGCATTAAAATGTACCTCTCTCAGTCTGCACATTAGAATAATTGGGGACGCTCAAGCTATCAGACTGTATAAATCAAGGCAAACTGTGGGGATCCCAGCCTAGCAGTCTTTGAAGGGTAAAAAACCTTAAGGAATCCATCAAAGCTCAGCCTACTGAGTCCATTTTGCACTACTCTGCCTGCCTGCCCTTCCTCCCTCTCTCCTTCCTTCCCTTTCTAGGTAGGGCCTTGCCTTGTATCCACTTTGGATATGTCCTAAGTATTTTTGTGCTTCTCTGAAGATCATAATTGAAGACTTTATAAATGGCCCAGAGCTCTCTGAAATCCTCTGACAACTCCCCGTGACCTGGAGCATGTGGATGCACTAAGTTCGGGAAGAGAGAAAAGCACATTTTTTTAAGTTAGGGTTTCATGCCACCCAGGCTAGCCTAGTACTTGCTCTGTAACCAAGGCTGGCTTTGAACTCCTGATTTTCTTGTTTCTATCTCCCAGGTTCTGGGGTTACAAAGCTGTACCACCTGATCATGTAAATTTTCTTATTTTAATCAGAAAAATTATAAAGCCGTAGCGGGGGCTGGAGAGATGGCTCAGCGGTTAAGAGCATTGTCTGCTCTTCCAGAGGTCCTGAGTTCAATTCCCAGCAACCACATGGTGGCTCACAACCATCTGTAATGAGGTCTNAAGGGTATGGTGGCCCAGGCCTATAACCCTAGCACTGAGGAGGTGGGAGCTAGAGGACTAGAAGGTCAAGGTCAGTCTAGAAAATGAGTTCTAGGGCTGGAGAGATGGCTCAGCGGTTAAGAGCATTGCCTGCTCTTCCAAAGGTCCTGAGATCAATTCCCAGCAACCACATGGTGGCTCACAACCATCTGTAATGAGGTCTGGTGCCCTCTTCTGGCCTGGCCTGCAGGCATACACACAGACAGAACATTGTATACATAATAAATAAATAAATATTTAAAAAAAAAAAAAAGCCGTAGCGGGTCTTTAATTCTCTTTGTAGCCCTGGCTGATCTGGAGCTTAAGATTGTCCTGCCTGGGTTTTCCTAGTATTGATGAGTAGAGCACTTTCCCACCGTGGTTTGCTTCCCTCTAACCCCTACCCCATCAAACTCAGGACCTCTAGTAAGGTAGGCAAATACTGCACATTTAACTACATCCCATCCGTGATGCTGTGAATTTTAGATAGTGTGACATGAAGATACCTGTGGGTTTAAAAAGGCGTCAGCTTGTTAGATGTTTGAACAACTACCCTGAGTGCACAGGTTTGACATGAGTTTAGAAAGTAATCAAGTCCCAGCCTCTCCTCACTAGACTACAATCTTATAGTCCCTGACTAGATGACCTTCGGCTGGAGACTTGACCTTTCTGTATCCTAGTCACCTCATCTTTAAGGCAGACGTGACAACATCATCTAAGATTGTTTTCAGAACTAAACTGTACCTTTATTGCAAGTTCTCTGTGTAAGCTGGTGGGACTTTGAATTCATTGCAGTGATTCTTCTGTCTCGGGAGTTCTGGGTTTATGCTTGTGAGCCACTGCACCTGGTCTCTCTCTCTCCTTCCTGTCTCTCTCTGCCTTCCACTTCCTTGCCCCCCTCCCTCATCCTCCCAGGATTCAGAAGGCCCTATTGCCTCAGCCTCTAGGACAACCAGGACTATAGCTTTCATTAAAAACTGTAAAGATTCATTTTAGAGCAGTTCCTTGGTGGTTATTATGGGTTATGTTCCATGATTGTGCTTATGATGTCTGGAACGGGGGTGGGTGCCTCTTTCCATAAGGTACTCAGTTGGGTTCAGTTTCCAAGGAAGCCTCTGGAGGGCCATTTTAACTTGTACTAGGTGGTACTGTAGACCATCCTTTCTTGTGGACACATTTCCTGTCACCCACAGCCATGGTTTGCTCCGTGTATTTTCTGACTGTGGTAGTGA